GGAGGGTGTTGTTCAGTTTCCATGTGTTTACTCTTTTCCTGTTGATCTTCCTATTGTTGATTTCTAATTTGATAGCATTATGATCTGAGAAGTCCATCTTCAACTTTTCAAGGAAGTGCCATATTATTTTCCACAGTGGTTGAACCATTTTACAGTCCCACCAGCAGTGTATGAGGGTTCCAGTCTCTCCACATTCTTGCCAGTATTTCGTATTTCTGTTTTTTGAACTTTGCTATTAGTGGTGGGATGAGATGATATCTCGTTGTGATTGTCATCTCTCTAATTCCTAATGATCAGGAGCATTTCTTCATCTGTTAGCTGCCTGAATGCCTTCTTTGGTGAAGTATCTGTTCATGTCCCCTGACCGTTTTTTAATTGGATTTATTACTTTTTCTTTTTGTTAAGTTGTTGAAGTTTTCTGTATAATTTAGAGATTAGCCCCTTGTCCTATATGTCATCAACAATTTTTTTTCCCCCAGTCTGTGGGCTCTCTTTTTACTCTTTTGGTGAAGTCTTTTGATGCACATAAATGTCCAATTTTTAGGAGGTCCCAATCATCTATTTTGTCTTCTAATATTTGCATTTTTAGTTATATTTGGTGATATATTTATGACCTGAATTAGGTTCAGATATTTGATCCAGCTTGAGTTCAAATTTGTATATAGTGTGAGATATGGGTCCTGTTTCCTTTTTCTGCAAATGGATATCCAGTTTTGCCAGCCCCACTTATTAAACAGACTATCTGTTCCCCATTTAATGAGCTGTGGTCTTCTGTCAAAGATCAGCTGTACATATGTTGAAGAATTTACTCTAGGTTCTCATTGTCATTTCATTGGTCTGTATGTCTGTCATTGTACCAGTTCCAGGCTGTTTCAACTACTGTAGCTGTGTAATAGGTTTTGTGATTGGGAAGTGTGAGGCTTCTACTTTGTTCTTCTTTAGTAATGCTTTCCTTATCTGGGGTCTTCTTCCTCTCCATATGAAGTTGTTGATTAGATTTTTTTCATTTCTTTAAAAACAGATGATGTAATCTGGATCAGGATTGCATTATAGCTGTAGATCATTTTGCCAACCCTATATTTTTAACAGAGTCCCTGGGTAGTACAAATGGTTAATGCACTTAGCTGCTGACCAAAATGTTGGAGGTTCAAGTCCACCCAGAGGCACCTCAGTGACAGACCTGCAGTGAACATGGGTGTGCATTTATCTGTTCATGGCATGGCTCATTGGCCACTACCCACTCCCCCTATCTCCACCCAAGTCTGGATTTAACTGAGGAATGGATTGTAAATTGCTCTCCAGAGTGTACTGCAGACAGAGCAGTCCTCACCCCACACTGCTTCAATCATCACCCTTCCTTGCCCTCCAAGATTCTGTTCCCCTTCCCATCTTCTCTCTGCCTCCCACATATCTCTCCCCAAGCCCCTCCCCTACTCCATGCATGCTCCTGTGTGTGTACACATGTACACACTCAATCACACACACACACACTCACATGCACACACACTAGTTATTTCTGCCATGAAAAGAATGTGTCTATGTTAGGTTTGGCCAAATGCCTGTATTTCTCTCTGCTCTGAGCTTCCCAGCCCAGCATTCCAGAAGAGGGTCCCTGGCCTCAGGAAGGCCACAAGAATGTCCCCCCCACCACCACTCTGGCCTAGCCACCCCTTTCCAGAGTTTAAGAAAATAAAAGTGAGTGAAAGGTATGTTTCTCTCTCCAAGCCTTACTGAGGGGGAGATGTAGAAAGGAGGAAGAGGCATTAGGAAGGCTCTCTGGTTGCCCCCCAGCCAGAGAAGGGCAGGAGATTATATTGAAAGGACAGCAAAACTCTGGGTTCATTGAGGATTCCTGGGAGAGGAATGGAGCACACTGGAAGGGGCTCTGGTCTCTGTGCTCTAAGGATGTCACTCCCCTCCTCACTACCCACTGCCCAGTCTGCTCCAGTTCTCTAAGCCATCAACTACATGTTATAAAGCTAAAACAACTCACTGCTGTCAAGTTGATTCCAACTAACAGCCACCCTATAGCCAGAGTACAACAGCCCATTAGGGTTTCCAAGGCTATAAATCTTTACAGAAGCATACTGCCACATCTTTCTCCCACAGAGCGGCTGGTGGGTTCAAACCACAACATTTTGGTTACTGCTTAAGTGCTGCACCACCAGGGTTCCTTTTAAAAAAAAAAACTAAGAGGACCTTTTCTGGCTTGGCTAACAGCCTTTCCAGATCCTTTGGATGGGGTTTCACCCCCAAAGGTCTCACACAGAGAGTTAAGAAACTAAGATGAGAGATCTTGGAATATAAAACTCAGGGTCCATCCCAATCACAAGGAAGGGAACGCCTTCCCTGGGTCTGACCAATAGGGAGCTGTGGGAGGGTCTTGCTGGTCTCAACAGCATCACAACAGGACCCAGGCTATCCTGACCTATGGCATTCGCCCACTTACCCAGAATCTGGGAAAGTGGAAGGAAGACCCTTGGGAGAGAAAATGATGATCACGGATAAAGGAAACACATTCTGCAATGAGGTTTTGACATCTAAACATGTGTGGACACTGCTCCTTCTGATGATTCCAGCCAATGATTTGAGCCAGTTTCCAGCAGACCCTGGCCTTTGGGGAGAGTGGGACCTGTGTTCTGAGTACTGTTTGTTTTTCTGAAAAGAGTGTAGTGCATCCCCTTTTGTACTTGCCCACACATCAAAGCAGCACTCCCACTGATTTCTGGAACATGCTTACAGGTAGCCCCACACAAAAGGGAGAAGCGGTTGTCACTGGTTTTCATCCTGGAGAAGGCTGAAGTTTTGAAATTTCATGAGAAGGGTGGAGCTTTGAGGGGAGGAATTGACCCCCTTCTGGAAGTCTAATAGCCTGTCCCTTGTAGTATGTGTAGTTTGGGGGACAGGTGGTATTAGGAAGGCATTGGATGGCTCCATGATGAAGGAGTTGGATCAGCCATGGTGTCTTCTCTCTGACTTGAATCTTAGGAACGTGTTCCTGGTACCGTATGGAATGAAATTGATGACATGCAGGTATTTCGGATTTTGGACCTAGAGGATTTTGAAAAAATGTTTTCTGCCTATCAGAGGCATCAGGTAAGACCTTGTCCCATCTGGCCTCTTGGACTATGTGTTACCTCCTTTTCCTTTTTTGACTTTCACATACATACCTTGAACCCAAACCTTCTAGCCCTTTTCCTTCCTACCTATATACCTACCTCTTTCCTTCCTCCCTCCTTCCCTCCCTTCTTTCCTTCTTTTCATGTTATTTGTTGAGGGGGAATTATCCCATTGTATTAGTTTATAATTACACACCAAGTGATGAAATAGAATCTTGTCCATTTCTCTTTTCATCCTGAGCATTGGAGAATGAATTGCAGGGCCTGGCCTCTTTTGACTTCTGCTCTTCCTTTGGCCCTAGGATTTAAGGACTATACCTAGAAAGCATTGTAACTTTTCACATCACTTTCTACACCATATTCTCATCTCCCAACACCCCCATAAGTCAGCTGAGCAAAGGATGCTAATGCTCCCAGGAAGATGCTGCTATTCCAAGTCACTTCTGGGGGCTAAGGCCTGTCTGGGCCCTGAGAAAGCCCTGTGTAGACCCTGGGCTTGACCCTACAGGCACAGTGAATAGATGGCTGGCCAGCAAATCTGACCTTTCAGCCACAGAGTGAGTAGGGAGAGTGGGGTTGCTGGCAGAACACAGTGTATTCCCAAGGTGGGGCTCTCAAACTATGCTGCGTACCTAAGAATGCCAAATTGCTGATTCTAGGACCTCATCTACAACTGAATGTGATTCAGTAGGAGAGCTGAATCTGCCCAGAAATCTGCATTGTCATGAGTACACCCAGGACCTTCTCCCAAGTGCAGTTTGGGAATTACCAAACTAGATGCCCTAGGGTACTTGCCTTCTCTCTGGCCTGCCTCAGAGGGGCTATTTCCCTGTAGGTTGTTCTTTTTTTTTTTTTTTCCCCCCCCTTTTCTCTGCCTACACTAGCATTCCAGCCTTGGGAACTTCCTCAGATGCCAATAAATGGAGTCTATGCCCTCCTGGGCCCTGGGCAACCCTTGGACATTGTGGCATGCATCCCATAGGTCTGGAGAGGTGCTTCATCCTGTTTTGGTCAAATCCAGATCTGTGGAGGACCTTCCTGAGAGTAGACAGGACTGAGGACAGATCCAGTTGCTTCTAGGGCATTGGCCATGTGTGTATTGGGGTGAGGAGCTGGCATTGGTCCTGTCTTGGGGTTCTAGAAAAACCATTGCATTTAGGCCCAAGGCATCTGATTCTCTGTCCTAATTCTAAGAAATGCTTTTAGCCCAACACTCACATTAAGCTAGTATGACCACCAAAACCAAACCCACTGCCATCGAGTCAGTTTTGACTCATAGTGACCTTATAGGACAGAGTATAACTGCTCCATAGGGTCTCTAAGGCTGTAAATCTTTATGGAAGCAGACTGCTGCTCCCACAGAGTGGCTGGTGGGTTTGAAGCACTGACCTTTTAGTTAACAGCCGAATGTTTTAACTGCTGTACCACCAGACCTCCCTGGCATGACCACAGGCAGCAGCTAAAGGCCTAGCTGGTCTGGAAAACTCTTCTGAGCACTCAGGGCTACCTGTGAATCAGTGGTCCCTGAGTAGGTGCCCCGAGTGGGTGCTGGGTGATGGAGGGAGTGTGTGGAAGGATGTATAAGGCATAGCCCCACCTCACACACTGTTCACTGCTTGGAGAGTCTTCCTTCAGGCCAGGGCTCCAGCCCTGCCCATACAATCCCCTGGGCCCTGAGGTGGGGCTATGATGAGGGCCACTGGGGAAAGAAGGGACAAGCTGGGTCAGTGGTCTTCCAATTGGTTAGTTGAGAATAGCAGGGAATGAAAGCCCCCTATTCTTACCCCCTGCCCTCTCAGAGCCCACTCCCTGGTTCAGGGCTGGACTCAATGAGAGCACTGTCACTTGGCAGGACACCCAATCTCTGAGACTAAATTCACAACAGCAGAACTGGAGCGATCCCAGAGGCTGCACCTCCTCCTCTCTCTGTCTTGGGGCCCTGGGTAGTGTGTGGTGGGCAATGGGAGGCAGAGGGTCCTGGGAGCCATGGCCTTCCTTCCAGGCTCTCTGTAGGTCCTGAGTTAGTGACTGTACTGCATCTGGGTTAGGAAGGGAGAACACAGGTGCCGGCTCAGCCCCCTCAGCTCCCCTTAGACAGCAAACACAGGAACAATGGCTCCTGCTTCTTCCCTTCTCCCTCCTAGACAGAGGGCAGGGGACAAAGAGTAAAGGCTTTCCTCTGCCTCACAGAATACAACATTCACATGCTTCTGGCTCAGGTTCCTTTGTGTCTCCTTCCCTAGTTGGAAAGATGAGCTCATCCTGGGATGCAGGAGATGGCTCACAGGAGAGGAGAGGGAAGAACTGTCAGCCAGGGGCATGATCTGCCCAGACCTGGGAAGGGTGACCCCATTAAGCATAGGTGGGTGGGAGGAGCTGTGTGTTATCTGCTTTGTTTGGCTTCTCTGTGAATGCACGTCTGCTAGAGCCATGTTTGTTCAGTGCTACTTCTGAGTCTTTCTCCCCAATGATGGAGGTATCAGCAGGATGAGGCAGATAGAGTGGATGCTGGGGGATCCATGTTTTCCTGCTGTTTCTGGGTCCCCGAACCTCATGGCTAACGTTGTGCATGTTTAATTCTCTGTTGGCTGTGGCTGCTACCTGCCTAGGAGCTGATAACTAATCCTTCTCAGCAGGTGAGTGATTCTTTGGACATCCCAAATTTAAAAACTGCCCTGGGATATTTCCCTATCTGGGGCCCTAAAGAGAGTGCTTGTCCATTCCACATCCTATCTTATTACCAAACCTCACATGGGGGAGGATCCCCAAAGAGAGAGAAGAAATGTAGGAGAGGGAGGTAATAGAAGAGATCCCTACTAGCAATGGAGGTAAATGTCTCCTGAAGTGAGAAGAAAGCTTCTAGGTTTATTGTCTTACCCACCAGGCCCCAGGCAGGGCCATCCTGTAAAGTTGCACAGACTGGGCATTGCAGAATTCCAGGCACTTCACAAAAATAGTGATGTGAGTGATGCCCCCTGGAGTTGTGCAACATGGAGAAGTGCTTGGAGTGACCTCCCAGAGTAAGAAACAGCCTCCTGTCTACCTCACCAGGGCCCTGTGAGAAGGGTGAACATCTCTGATTTCTTAGGTATCTGCTTGCTGGGACCCCACAGGAGAGAATTCTGCATGGAATTCTGCCTCACTTTCTCTACCTCTGAACTTGTGGAAGCCTTTTACCCACAGGAGTCCAAGAACTGTGGCCATATAAGAGCTTAGAACCAGCTTTTCATCCTAAGCTTGGGGATACTCTTAGGGTGGGGTGATGGGAGTGGGGGTTGATTCTGTGGGGGACGTGGTAGATCATATCACATTGCCTAAAGCTACAGGGATCATCTAGTCTCTATAAGAGAAGCCCCTTCCCTCGATTGCCCTGAGAGGACAGTCTCTAAAAAGGGGGTTCCTCAGTGGCCCCTCCAACTCATTCTATTCCATGGTAAAGTCACAGATACCTCATCTTAGAGTCAGTTCTTAATCATCCTCTTCTCTTTCTTCTGTCTTTTTCTTCCCCCCTCTTTCTTCTCTTTACTCCAGAAACATTCCCAGATTGGTAGGGTATTGGTTTCTGGGGGGTAGGCCAAAAGAGGATGGGGAAAAACACACATCTTGGCCTTGCCACCTTGTCTGTTGATTGCAGAAAGAGCTGGGTTCCACTGAGGACATCTACCTGGCCTCACGCAAGGTCAAAGAACTGTCAGTCATTGACGGCCGGAGGGCCCAGAACTGCATCATCCTCCTCTCCAAGTACGCACTCTCCTTGCCTCTGTGGTCCCTGCCCCATGGATAGGTTGCTGTTGGGTGGGGAATGGGTCTTCCTGGGAGCAGAAACCTGAGGTGAAACTTGAACCAAAAAACATGGTTGAACTGAATGCCTGGGGGTGGGGGTGGGTTGCAGACAGGTGGCAATGGGGTGCCCTCTCTGCTGGCGCCTAGGAATGGAGGGGAAACACACTGGTCTAGAATCTTCTCCTGAGAGCCCACTGTGAACAGCAGTGTGGAGCTCTGCAGACAGGAAGCTGCCCAATTGCGAGGCCAGCCTGGTCAGTGTCTGGCAGCTGAGTTGCTCTAAGCCCGCAGAGAGCCCCACTCAGTTTAGGCTCCAGAGCAGCATGATCTCAACCCCTAAGCATTTCCCGTGGCCTGCAGAACAAGCAGGGCAGTATCTGCGCTAACAGCAAAGCTTCTGTGCGGGGCCTCCTGCCTGAGCCTGGGTCACAGGGTTCTGCCTCCCGTACTATTCTTAGTCCTGCCTCTAGCCACTTCTGGGACATCTGCCCTCCCCTCCCTCTCACAAGGCCCTGGGCCTCAGTTTCTTTCAGCTGGTCGTGGGGGAAAGTTCTGCATTGCCATTGGTCCCAATGGGCGTACATCTGGAGGGAATACGGAAGGGGTATTAGGGGGAGGGCTTCTCACTCCCCCAGAGAGCAAGACTGATTGGAACAGCTGTGTGGGAGCTGAGGCTCAGTCAGAAGAATGAGGGCTCTTCTATCTTTCAAGAATGAGGGAAGCAGGAAGTTCCCTTTGTTCCCTGCTGATATTCCCATCCTTCTGTGGAGGATGCTGTGGAATTTTTAGGCATAGGCAGAAGAATCAGATACCTTTTACTTTGTCTTTCAGTTCATACTGGAGACATCCCTTTTACATCCAAATGCCCCCATCAGGTCTGATGGAGACTCAAGCAAGACAAAAACATTTAGAGACAAAAACAGCTCATTACAGAGTGAATCATGCTGTAGTCTGAGAAGACTTCACAGAGGAAGCAAGGAGGGAGTACTGTCTATTGGAGTCCTGAGTTAACACTAGGGAGGGAGGCTGGGCTGAACCTTCTAGAGAAGGACCATTGGAGTCTGTTCTGAGCAGTGGAGCCTGGCCAGGCTACTCAGAGGGTGGGGTTTTAACCTAGGCTGAAGCTTTCTAACGAGGAGATCCGGCAGGCCATCTTGAAGATGGATGAGCAGGAGGACCTCGCGAAAGACATGCTGGAGCAGGTGAGGACCATCAGTGGGGAAGGAGGAGATGAACCCAGGGTTGCAGCCACAACCCTTCCCAACAGCACACAGAGAGGCTGAGATTCTTAGGTCAAAGAGACATCGGGCTCTGGGAGAAGGTTTATGGAAATTTCCTTAGGCAAACTTTTCTAGAAGGAAGCCAGCTGCATCTTTTTTCAGAGGTCCTCAAGGTCACCGGAAGGAGTTATGAAGTATTATTTCTCATGAGTCTCAAGGCAAAGTGAGGAAGATCTATAGTCATATCTTTCCTAAATCATCCCCTTCAAGAGAAACCTAGAAAACATCAAACATGAATACTGTTGATTGGACTTCATTAAAATTAGGAATGTCTCTTCCTCAAAAAGCACTCGAGTGAAAAGGCAAGTCAGTCCCTGGAAGAAGAATATGCAATACAGGTAGTCCCTGACTTATAACACATTTGAGTTATGATGAACAGCACTTACAACTATCCTTTTTTTTTCTTTCTTTTAATACATCTTAGTCATATGTATAGGCAGTCCCCAAGTTACAAATGAGTTCCATTCCTAAGTCTGTCTTAGGTTCAATTTGTCCATAAGTCTGAAAAGTTAGGTATGGGTCATATCTAGTATCAGTTAGTCAAATGTTTGTCTTAGTACATATGTATAATATCCTTTTCTACTCTGGTAGCATAGTGCCTAAGGCACTTGACTGCTAACCAGAAGCCTGGTGGTTCAAACCCACCAGCCACTCCTCGGAAGGAAGGTTGGGCAATCTACTTCTGTAGTGATACTGCCTCGGCAACCCAAGGAGGGGTCGCTATGAGTCAGGTCTGACTCGATGGCACATAACAACAACAACAGGCATAAAAGACATTAAAGAAATGTTTGCAGATACACTGAAACATCTTTAACATAATAATACAGTAATAATAATAATAATGATGTGTTGATGTGCCTGTTTGTTATTAGGAACCACCATATGTACCTCAAATGTTTAATGTAATAGGCTTTAGGGGACTGACTGGTAACTAGTTAGGGGGTTGTACGTAAGTCAGACATTAGTAACCCGGGACTGCCTGTGCTACATACAGTGTTGCAGCACATAATCTACTGATGTTATTCTCAGATGATCACTCAAAGATGTTGCCAACCCCCAAAGATGCATAAAGATCAGATTCATAAAGAGACTGATAGTAATGAAAACTTAGAAAAAAAAAAAAAAAAGAGGTATTCGATTTACTTAAGAACTAACCTAGAATAGAGTCATTGGAACAGAACCCTGTTGTATGTTGGGGGTTACTTGCACATATATCTAGCAAAGCTCTCATACCCAGAATAAAGAAGTCTACAAGTCAATAAGACAATGACAGTCAATCCAGTTTTAAAAATTAGCAAAAAGATTTCCAAATGGCCAATAAGCAAAGAAAAGGTGCTCAGTGCTATTAGTCATCAGAGAAATGCAATAAAATGACAATTAGATAGCACTACACACCCACCAGATGGCTAAAATTAAAAATATCGACAATGCCAAGTGTTGGCAAGGGTGTGAAGCAATTGGGATTCTCTTTTGGTACAGTCACTTTGAGAAAATATTTGGCAGTACATACTAAGACTAAATATGCATCTGCTCTGTGGCCCTGCAGTCCCACCCCTAGGTGTATACCCAAGAGAAACAAGTGTAAATTTCCACTAAAAGACATACACAAGAATATTAATAGCAACTTTATTTTCAGAACTCCCAAACTATGAATAATTCAACTGCTCATCGATAGGAAAATGAACAGGCTGTGGTATATTCTTATAGTAGAATACTACTCAGCAGTTAAAAAGAAAAAAAAAAGAACAAATTTACTAATATTCACAATATGATGAATCTTAGATATTATGTTGAGTGGAGGAATCCAGACACAAAATACACAGCATGAATCCATTTATATGAAGTTCAAGAATAGGCAAATCTAATTAATCTCAGGTTATAGAACTCAGTTGAAAGGCTATTTTGGGGGACAGACTGTCATACTGAAATGACAAAAGGGAACTTTGTGATGGGATGGACATCTTCTGTATCTTCATCTGGATTGTGGCCCAGTGGGTAGGTAGTTTTGTCAAAAAGTCATTGGACTGCAGTTAGAATGAGTGCATTTTATTTTATGTTAGTTGTTTCTCAATAAAATTGATTTATAAAGAAAAACACCATTGAAGAGTTGAATACTTAAAACTAGTCTCCTTCACTGTATATTAAGTATATAATATCTCAATTAAACAAGTGGGAGGAGAAAAGTAAAAGGAACAAGTCAGAGCTCATTTCCCTGTCATCTCCATCAGTCAGATGAAGTAAACCAGTCCATGGAGTGTGCCTCTCTCTTTTCAGGCTCCTTCTCCCTGCCTGGAGTAGAGTCAGGGTGTGGGCTTCTCATAGGCTATACCCCTATCACAGCTTCTCACCAGTTTCCTATCTTACCTTCACCGCCTCTTTGCAGCTCCTCAAGTTCATCCCAGAGAAGAGTGACATTGATCTCCTAGAGGAGCACAAGCATGAGATCGAGCGGATGGCCCGTGCTGACCGCTTCCTTTATGAAATGAGCAGGTGGGCAGCAGATGTGGCCAGAGGGGCTGGGCTTGGGGCAGGCAAGGCTCTGCCCAGGAGAATGTGGAGATGGTCATGCAGCTTCCAACTGGAGGCTGGTGCTGGGTCCTGGAGCCTCGGCTCCATGTGTCTCACCTTGTCCACAGGATCGACCACTATCAGCAGCGACTGCAGGCCCTCTTCTTCAAGAAGAAGTTCCAGGAGCGGCTAACTGAGGCCAAGCCCAAAGTAGAAGGTAGGGCTGAGGATGTGGAGGAAGCCTAGAGTGGAGAGGGCATCTAGGAGACCCAGGATGGTGGGAGGCAATGTACAGAGGCAGAGAGAGCACCTTCTTATCCTCTGCCCCAGAGAAAAACTAAAGTCAAAGACAAATTTGAAAATGGCCATTATTGTAAATATACGCACTTGTTTATATAAGCACAGGTGCCAACCATGTGACACATTCCCTATGCTTCAGCATGTGAACCTGCCCCGGTGGAGGATCTGTTGACATCTGCCCAGCAGAGGACAGAAATGCTGAGGAGATAATGATAGCAACCACATAGAACAGAGCCTGGCATGTAGTGAGCTCATCAATCTTTATCCTACATGAGAGGAACGAAGTGACTTAATCCATGTAAAGTACATGGAACACCTCTGGCATATGATTTTAAATAGGTGCTATTCAGGAAGTAGGAAATTGGGCAAAGTGATCCCTGGAAGCAACTGGTTTTTGGGGTTGCAGAAAGTCTTCCAACAGAGGCGTTTTCCAGATGAGAAATTTGTAATTTAATGAAAGCCATGTGCTGAACGCTGTGTGAAAAAATCTAACTGGGATGGCCTCATTTGGTCTTCACTACAACATGATAGGAAGGTTGGGCAATCCTACTTCCGTAGTGATACTGCCTCGGAAACCCAAGGAGGGGTCGCTATGAGTCGGGGCTGACTCGACAGCATATAACAACAACAACAACACAACACGATAGGTCAGTGCTGGTATAGCTTCTGTGGATCTCAGTTCTCTCATCTCTAAAATGGGGGTATGCTAGTTGCCTGAGGCCCTGTTTCTGGTAAGTGGTGGATCCAGAATAGAACCTCAGATGTCATTCTTCAAAATCCATCCCTTCACTGCAATCTTGCATTGGTTCCCAGATAGTATCTCCCTGGGGATGATATGGCGATAACAGAAGAGAGAGGGGCAAGGAGTTGGGGTGGGGGATGGTTGGAAATCAGGATGGTGGGCAGACATGCAGCACCCAAAGGGGAAAAGCAAGAGAGGCTTTGAGGTTCATTTGGTGGTGAGAATGGGGTAAGCAGAATGGAACAAGAAAGAACAAGAGAGCCTGTGTCCTAGATGTTGAGGGAGACAGGCTGGGGCAGAGCAGAGCATGGGCCCCCTCTGCTGGACACCAGGGCCAGTCAGCACTCCTGGAGATGCCCAGTCCAGGCAGTGGCCCTTTCTGGAGTCCAAGGAGCTGCTGCCAGGAGGATTCTGGGAGTAGAGGAGGGAAGACAAGAGCATGAGAAAGCAAGAACCAGACATTTTCTGTAATCTGGACCCTGCTGCCCTTCAACACACACACACACACACACACACACAAGGGAACTGCAGACTGTGATCATAGCTGTTTGGTCTGGGGGAGAAGGAAAGATATTAGTGACTCTGCAGCTCTAGGAGTCTCTGGGTGGTGCAAACAGTTATCATGCTTGACTGCTAACCAAAAGGTTGGAGGTTTGAGTCCACCCAGAGGTGCCTTGGAAGAAAGGCCTGGCAATTTAGTTCCAAAAAAAATCCACCATTGAAAACCCAGTAGAGCACAGTTCTACTCTGACACACATGGGTTTGTCATGACCCTGTAATTAGCTGGTACTGCGGCTCTAAGGTCTGTCAGGCATCTGCTTCTCTGGTGATGGGTAAATCCTTATCTTCATCACAACTTTCTTTTCTCCTGGCACAGACTGCCTTTGGAGAATGTGGCACAGGTAAGGTGTTCAGCTCAAGACATATGTGCTCAACTCTGTGTATGTCTTGAATCAGTCCAACAAATGTGAGCAACGGCCATTTGAAGCTAGGGAACTAGAGTAGCTGAGCCACTAGGAAGGTTTAATCTCATCTGATTTCCTGCTCCCAGGAGCCCACTCCTAAACTCCTAAACTCTCCCTAAGTTATCTGTGAATTGTCAATAGATGTTTAAGAAAGACTTTCCCTTTAATACCAAGTTAAGCACAGCAAGATGTGTTTGGCATAGCAAAGTACTGGGAAAAGTAATCATCGCTCTGTTATGGCAATGGTTGCTGTTCATGAATGGTTCACAAGTCTCTTCCCTCTGAGCGGTAGGTAGGGGACAGGTGGCTGTAGCAGTATTTCATTGAGTCAGGTAAGTGTGCCTGACTGGGGGTTAGCAAATTTGGTACATTCAGCAATGAACATATTCATAATAAGAACAGATCCAAGAAAAATATACTCATGGATCTATTTATAGAAACTTAGGAAATTTATTTGAATTTGGTGAATTGGCTTTTGTTCCACTGACCAAGAGCCCCTGCTGGGGTAGGGGTGACAGTAGCCCATGAACCAGATGGGATGTGCCAAATCTTAGTTCTTCCAGGGATATTTCCTGGAGAACTGAAAGGACAGTTATGAGTCCTGTAGGCAAGAGGATTTTGCAGAGATTGGGATTAATAATCCTCCTTCCAGTTCTTGCAGGAAATATTCCTGGGAGAACTAAGATTTGGTATATCCCAGCTCATTGATTGGCTATTGATACCCCGCAGGGGCTCTGGCTCAAATGGCCAAAAGGCAATTCACCAAATTCGCCAGTCCTTCTATGAATATATTCATGAACATACACTTCTTGAATCTGTTCTTATAAATATACTCACTGGTGAATGTACCAAATCTACTAATTCTCATTATGAATTTATTTACTGCCTATATTCAAGATGAATAGGGCTGGTAAAGTAAACATATTTTATGAATATCTTATTCTTATGAATATAACTTAAATGACAGCATTTCATACAGGAGTTTTCCCATTTATACTGATTTCCTTGGAATGCTTGTCAGTTTCTGTTTTGCCAACATTTTGGTATTTCAAAGATTTCTTTGCAAATTTCTCAAATAGCATATCAACCTTCAAAAAACTATACTAACCAACATAAATTCCTGGAAATTTTAGAAGAAGGTCTTTTTAAATAAACTTGTTTTTAATTAAAATGTAGGATATATATATAGTAAATCATAAGAACCTAATTGATGGATCATCACAAAGTCAACCCACTCATGCAACAATCAACACCCAGACCAATGGAACATTTCCAGCCTCTCAGAAGCCCTTCTTCATGCCCCCTCTCAACTCTTCTCCCCTCCTTCCTCTAAAGATAATAGCTATCTTGACTTCTAGATGAGTTTTGTCTGTTTTGAACTTTATATAAACAGAATGATATATTATGAATTCTTTTCTGCTGGCTTCTTTTGCTCAATTATATTTGTGAGTGAGCCTGTTAACTCCTGGTGACTCCTTGTACAATGAAAAGAAACACTGCCTGGTCCTTTGCCATCCCCATTTTCAGTTGAAGATTCGGCCATTGTGATTGATTCCATAGGGTTTTCTTTGGTTATTGTGGAAGTAGATCACCAGGCCTTTCTCCCTAGTCCATCTTAGGAAGCTCTGCAGAAGCCCATTCAGCATCACAGCAACAAGCAAGCCTCCCCTGACGTGTATTGTTGTGTGCTACCAAGTCGATTCTGCCTCACAGTGATCTCATAAGACAAAGTAAAACTGCCCCATTTTGTTTCCTAGGTGGTGATCTTTATGGGAGCTGCTCACCAGTTCTTTTCTCTCTTGAACAGCTGGTGGGTTTAAACCATGACCTTTCATTTACCAGCAGAGCACTTAACCATTGTCCCACCAGGGCCAATGAGGTGTAGCAGTGATTTATTCATTTTCAGTGCTGTGTTTTATTTCATTGGAGGAATATACCATAATTTAGTTATCCAATCTATTCATAATCTTAAAAAAAAAAAAAAAAAAACTACGAGCAACTCAAATGTCCATCAAGAATAACACTGCTGTGAATTTTTGTCCACGGCTTGATGTAGATTTGATGTATTTCTGTTGGGTAACACCTAGAGTGGGTTGGTTAGGTCATAAAGTATGCATATATTCAACATTAAAAGTTATTGACAAACCTTACTTATTACCTATTTTTATAGCTTCTTTTTCACAGTAAGTTATTTTTAACTTCTTTTGAAAACTTTGCAACTGGCAAAGTTTTAGTCAATTGGTTTTAATTTTTTTTTTCTCATACCAGTATTTTAAGGAATTTCTGGCTTAATATAGCCAAATATCATAGGATTGCTTAAGTCTCCTTATCACCATACTTAATATACAAAAAGTATATTCAAAATGTATATTAACATATATATTTATATATATATATATATATATATATATACACATTAAAAAGTATGTATAACGAGTAGCCATAATTTCAGTGTAGGTCTCCTATCCCAATTCTGTACATCTACTATACATCATTCCAGCTGAGAAAGGCCAGAGTATTCACATCAGAATGGAATTCTAAAAGTTTTGGCTACTGTTAGCCTTCATTTGTATTTGTAGCAAACATATCCTTTAAAGCAATAGGGGCAGAAATTAAAAGCTGATACTCAACAGTATGTCAAGAAACCTATTTTATCAAAGCTAAGAGACTATCACCTATAAATCATACCTTTATTTTATAAAGGAGCATCTGGATGGTGCAAGAGTTAACATGCTCAGCTGCTAACCCAAAGGCTGGCAGTTCAAGTGCACCCAGGGGCACCTCAAAAGAAAGGTCTAGTGATCTACTTCTGAAAAACAATGATCAGCCATTGAAAGCCCTGTGGAGCACAGTTCTTTTCCGACATACATGGGATCACCATGAGTTAGAATCAACTCCATAGCAACTGGCGTTGAGAAAGACAAAAACAATATAAGAATGCATATTATAACTAATGACATGTTACTCATTCCCACTCCTCTTTATCAACATGGTTAGGTTCCAAAGACCAGAATGTTAACGTGAAAATTGGCATTATGCAAAAATGGGTGATAACCACAAAATGGAGGATGATTATATCATTATGTAACTGCCAAACTGAATTATTGCATAACTGCCAAATTATATCATTACATAACTGCCCAACTACTGAGAATCACAACCTTAACCATCACAGCCAGTACTACTCTTGCCTCACACCTTGGTGTTCATTGTGCGTATGTCACATGTCATGTGCCGCATACTTGGGATATGTCATTATTGCACAAAAGAGTTGGATAGGAGATTGTTTACTATTGTCATAAATGTGAAATACTGCATAATGAGATAGTTGATAAGTGAAGAGTTGGTGTAATTGACAGGAATTTTTTTCCCCCTAAAATCAATAAAATACAGTATTTCAAAAAAAGGCATAAACAATATCATAGTATGAGAAATTCTAAACTTAGAGTTTTCATTGCTGGGTTTAGAAAAGTAAAGGCATTATATTCATGCATATATTCATAGAAAAATATATGGATGATCTTTGAATATGTGTAAGAAAAGATATCCTCAAATATATTCTTGTGAAGAGTTGTTACATTCAGAGGATAGATTATTTGGTGAGTTGGCTTTTGGTGAGTTGGTCTGCTTCCTTGGATGTAGGTAGATGTGGGATGTGGAGTAGGTTGGTCTGCTTATGACTGGTTGTAACCTCTACTCCCGAGAGTTGAGGACATTTGGCATTTCTGAGCTTTGTGATGGCATTATCCTGGGGTGCAAAGGGACCCTAGCCCTGTCTATGTAGGGTTCTGACCTGTCCCTCCTCCTCCCAGCCATCCTGCTGGCCTCCCGGGAGCTGACCCGCAGCAAACGTCTAAAGAAGATGCTAGAGGTCATCTTGGCCATTGGAAACTTCATGAACAAAGGGCAGCGTGGGGGTGCCTATGGGTTCCGAGTGGCCAGTCTCAACAAGATCGCTGACACCAAGTCCAGCATTGACAGGTGGGGGCCCCTCCTATTTCCTTAGCCTCCATCTCACCCATCTGGTCTCTCCCCTCCTCTGCCTTATCCTTCTTCTGTTTCCTGAACCAAGATTCATCCCCCTTCCCCTAATCCCCTATGCTGGTTTCCTTCTGACCCCATTCCCTACTTCCTCATCCCTCACCCCTGACCTGACTTCCATCCACAGAAACATCTCTCTGCTACATTACCTGATCATGATCCTGGAGAAGCATTTCCCTGACATCCTCAACATGCCCTCGGAGCTGCAGCATCTTCCTGACGCCGCCAAAGTCAAGTGAGGGATCTCTTCAAATGCCCTTCTCCCTGTGATCACACACACTCCTGTATGACTTCCTCCCTTGGGGCCTACTCTGGGAAGTATCCCAGAGTCTGGGAGAAACAAAGGAAGACAAACTATCTGCCCTCAAATTCTTATTTCAGAATGATCTTAGAAAACACCAGTAGTGGAATGGGAGATGAATGGCACTAACAAGAGTGTTATTAAACCAGTTACCACTGTGGGCAGTTGGAGTTTAATTCCATTGGGTGACTCTGTGTGACAGTGTAGAGCACTCACCCCAGTCATCTCACCAAGGACTAGGGAGCTGGGGTAATTAGACACCATCTCCTACCAGTCACTTGTTGAGGGGTACTGGGGGCATATAATTCTCTGGACTCCAGGAGAGGTATTCACATGGTTGGAAGTCAGGGCCATGCACTACAATGAATTGGCCCAAGGAGATATGGGAGGGGCACCGACATCGTCTACTACAGGCAGGAAATCAGACCTGCACATGCAGCCTGAGAGAAACCACCTCTAGTAGAACCAGGAATGCAATGGTAAATGGCTGTCATTGCAGCTGTGTGCCAGTTAGTCAGTTCTAACTCATAGTGACCCCAAGTGACAGAATAGAACTGCCCCATAGGGTTTCCTAGGCTGTAATCTTTACAGAAGCAGATCACCAGGTCTTTTCTCCTGTGGAGCAGCTAGTGGGTTCCAACCTCTGAACCTCTGGTTAGCAGACAAGCACTTAACCACAATGCCACCAGGACTCCTTGGTAAATGACTAGCATGAGTCAAATGCTTATTGTACACAAGGTATCATGTTAAGAGCTTAATAGCATTACCTGGTGATGGTAATAACATATCAATCTAAGCTAGAGGCCATGTACTTTCTGATATGCAACATGGCATTTCTGAGCTGGAGGAATCTACAGAATGCAGATTTCGCCTGTTACTTTATAGAGGCACAGATGCCCTCTGTTACTTTACAGAGGCACAGAGGGGAAGCACATGGCCAAAGCCCCAGGTCAGTGGCCAGAGTAGGGCTAAAGCATAGATCCACTGACTCCCTGGTCATTGTGCTTTGCACTGCCCTCTCCTGGAGCTATCCTCAGCCCCTCAAGTCTAAGCTGATGACCCTCCATCCCCTCCCCATGTCTCCCCACAGCCTGGCAGAGCTGGAGAAGGAGGTGGGCAACCTCAAGAGGGGCCTCAGAGCAGTTGAGGTGGTGAGTACATCGTCTCTGTCTTCCAGGCTTGGGTTTGAGGGGAATGCTGTCAGAAGTAAAAGCTAGTCATGTTGCCTGTGTTTGCTGCTGCCAAGCACTGGGCCAGATGGTGACCCTATGGCAGCAGAGCCCCCGTCTGGTGCATAGCTGGGACCTAGAGCCCCTGGCTGGCATGACAGAAAAACTAGCACAGTGGGTACACAGAGCTTGTATCAGAGTCAGCACTCAAGAAAGGATGATTGGATTACCTGGGGCTTACATGAGATCCACAAATGGGGACATCTCTACCTGAGACTATATCCATGTCAGTGGCAGTGGGGAGGAATGAATCACAAATATGTTCCATGCTTCAGTTGGATTCTAGTGGATGGGAAAGGGGACACACACCTCTGAAAAGCTGGCTAGGGGGAGGTAGCACACAGTGTAGCAGTGGGGACTGCTGCCACCAGAAACTCCTTCTGTATGTCTCTTCTTCCCTTTCCTGGGCCAGAGGACCTAGGGGCTGCACTGCATTGCTGGAGACCGAGGCCTCTATTCCACACCATTTCTGCCCTGATGGCTTCTCAGCCAATACTGAGGCTAAGCTGGCCCAGAATTGGGATGTCTCCAACCCTTTGTCCCCAGTGCTGAGGAATACAGACCTTTCCCATTTTCACTGGGGGGGCAGGTTTAGGGGAGAATGGACTTAGAGAACGAGGTTAAGTATGAGAAAGAATCTTTTGCTGCCACTATGGCTGGGGGTAGTGACTTCTAGTTTGATTGTACTGTGAAGTCTTACAATCCAAAGTGTGGTCAACGGAACAGCAGCACCAGCTGGGAGCTTTAGAAGTATGTTTCAACCTTTATTTTCTACCAGAAGCACCTGGGGACCTTATGAAAATGCAGATTGTGATTCTGTCGAGAGTGGGGCCTGAGACTCTGTATTTCTAACAAGCTCCCAGGGGATGCCCATACTGCTGGTCCCAGGCCACACTTTGGGTAGTGAGGTCCTAGAGAAGAGGCAACGGTGGACAGAGGAAGGGTAGAAGCAGTGTGGACTGATTAGTCTCTCATGGTCTTTGCTGCCCTTAGAATGTGAAGACACAGGGTATGCCCTCTTCCAAAGGCCACTAAATGCCCTGTGAGTGGCAAGAAGGTGGGGGACCAGTGACCTGTGAGTTCCTCTTACCAGGCACCAGTCTAATGAGCCCCTCCTTGCTCCCTCTTCAGGAGCTGGAGTATCAGAAACGTCAGGTACGGGAACCCAACGACAAGTTTGTCCCAGTCATGAGTGATTTCATCACTGTCTCCAGCTTCAGCTTCTCGGAGCTGGAAGACCAGCTAAATGAGGCCAGGGACAAGGTAAGGGTGCCCCAAGCCTCCCTTACACCCTAACCCTGACCCTGAGTCCACTTCTACAGCCTCATTTCTGTATAGCTCCTTCACCCATTTCTATCATAGATGACCAGAAGGGGCAAAGCCAGAGTCATGGAACTTCCAGAAGAAAACCCATTTCCTTGCTCCTATAAGAAAATTTACTGCTTAAGAGATCATTTTTCATTTGTCAGGTGTCAGGCACCATATTAAGCATTTCATGTGATTTACCTACTGCCTGCCTCTGGGTTTATTTTCAGGTTATTATCCCAGTCGACAGATGTGTAAGCCGAGATTCACAGAGGTTAAGTAAATTGCCCAAGGTTGCCCACTATATTCTTCTTCCTGCTTCTCACATTGACACACACATGGATCACACTTCCATGAGATGTCTCTGCTGATAGTCCACTTGGAGTAGCGAGATCTTTCTTAGAGGATACTGAGTTGGTTGAACTAGAGATTGTTGTTATTATTAGTTGCCAATGAGTCAATTCCAACTCCTGGTGACTCCACATGTGCACAGCAGAACCACTCCATAGGGTTTTCAAGGCTGTGACCTTTCAGGAGCAGCTAGACCTGTCTTCTGAAGTACCTCTGGTTTCCAGCTGCCAAGCTTTCAGCTATTAGTAGAGGGTTTAACTATTTGCACCACCCAAGGACTCCTGGACTAGGGACAGTAGCTCTCAATAAAAGTCAGGACAGTACCTGACACATATAGTTTAGTCCTTTATATCTATTAAGGAGCTCTGGTGACGCAGTGCATAGGGCATTTGACTGCTAACCAGAAAGTTGGTGGTTCAAACCCACTAGCCACTCCATGAAAGGAAGATAGGACAATCTACTTCCGTAAAGATTTACCCCCTCAGAAACCCAGCAGGGGTGACTGAGTCATAATTGACTCAATGGCATGGGTTTTTTTTTTTTTTTTTTGGTGTTTCATAACTATTAATTTACTTACTGCCCACAAACAACACTATAAACTAGGTTTCATTTTAGCTCCACTTTACAGAGAAAACTGAGGCATGGGGTGGCTGGGTTAAATAGCACAGTAACTAGATGATCTCTGAGGTCCTCTTGAGTTTTAACTTGGCAGTTCTTGACCTTAGAAAGGGCTTCCCAGAATCCAAAGCTCCTAATCCATTACTCACAGGGAAACAGACCTAGAGAATCTGACACTACCCCAAAGAAGACAGTAGCTGTCAGGCAGACTGATTGGCAGCCCAGGTCCCCAGGCTGGCTCCTGCCCCTTACCTCCCAGGTGTCACCTCAAGCCTTTCCTTCAGCCTAGTCCCTTGCCCCTCATGATAAGGCGGCTGTCCCACTCCCTCCAGCCCTGCCCCTGATGCCAGTGTGCTCCAGCCTGGGACTTAGCTATGCTCTGGCTGGAATTCTGCTAACCATAAGTCTGAGCCACCTCCACACTTAGGGCAACTCCACCAACCCTTCCCTTCCCTCACCAGTTTGCCAAGGCTCTGATGCACTTCGGGGAGCAAGAAAGCAAGATGCAGCCAGATGAATTCTTTGGCATATTTGACACCTTCCTGCAGGCCTTCTCAGAGGCCAGGCAGGACTTGGAGGCCATGAGGAGGAGGAAAGAGGAGGAGGAGCGGCGGGCACGCATGGAGGCCATGGTGAGAGGGCTGAGCAGGGCTGGGGCTGGAGCTAGGGCTGAGGGGAAAAAGGCTGGTCTGAGGGGTTGTGTATGAGGGCAGGGTCTAAGGAGTACTGTAGGGGCTGATGTCAGCCCCAGGAGAGAGAAACCCCTTCCTGAGCTGAGGGAGAAGCCTGAGGCAAGCCGGAAAGAGGGAAGGGTGAAGTGAAAGGCCAAGAGCGTCCTAGGAGGAGGAAAACAGGGCCAGTTGATAAACACAAGCATCATGGTGCAGAGCTCAGAACGCAGCCTCTGGAGAGACAGCAGCCATTTTGGGAAGTGTTGGCCTCTGCTCCCACTCACCCAGGTTCTTCTCATTCTCCAATTCCACCCCTCTTCCCCTAGCTAAAGGAGCAGAGGGAGCGGGAGCGGTGGCAGCGGCAGCGGAAGGTCCTGGCAGGCAGTGCGCTGGAGGAGGGAGGCGAGTTCGATGACCTGGTGTCGGCCTTGCGCTCCGGGGAAGTTTTCGACAAGGACTTGAGCAAGCTCAAGCGCAGCCGCAAACGATCAGGGAGCCAGGCCCTGGAAGTCACCCGGGAGCGGGCAATAAACAGGCTAAATTATTGACCTGGGGACTGGCCACAGCAGGAGGCCGGGAGATAGGGACAGGGCCCAGAGGGGCTGAGAGGAGGTGGTGATGCTTAAACAATGTGGTGCTTGGTACGGAGCCCTGGGCTGGGTCCTGGGGTGGGGGGGTGTGCGTAGCTGGACCAGGAGTCGGACCACACTTGCCTTAAGGGGGCTCCTCTAGTATCCCCCCTTCTGTGTTACTCTTTCTGCATCCCAGCCCTCAGGTGTCATTCTCAGAGGATGGCGTGGACATCTCTGGCAGGCCCTAGGCCACTGGCCAGGTAACCACAGGCTAAGAGGGCCCTGCTCCCCACCCACCACCATGGGAACCTACATATTGGCACAGAATTGTTCCAGATCTAGACCTGAGGGGCCCATATACCTTGTCCAAATTTCACGTGCAGTGGGGAGTAACAGAGTGAGGATGGGTCCCTGACAGTCAGGGTGAGGGAATCCCAGCCCAATCCCTCAAGAAGCTTGGAATGTCAAGCTGAGCTCCAGAGCTGGGAGTGAACTTTCCCCTTGGGTGGAAAAGGAAAAATACATATTCTAGCCAGATCAGCTCTGATATAGTCCGGGGGGCGGGGGGAGGATGTTGGGGGGATGATGCACAGAGTAAAGCCATCAGGACACAGACTAACAGTGCCATTTTCTGCATCACAATTCCATTGGCCTCTCTTGCATGTCTCAATCTCCCTCCCTTCCCTAACCCTATTTCAAGTCTGTCTAGTAATCCAGAAAACTCACTTTTGGTTTTCACCAACTATGGATGAATCTGGTACGAGACGAAGTTCCAAGACAGACCCTGTTCATCACCCCATCTCATGCCTTGGGCATATGGGCCCTGGAATGACCTCTACCCACACCTTCCCCATACAACCTGACCATCTTCTTGACATGAGACAGTGACCTCACATGTTGTCTAGTTCTTGATAGCTTCTCACCAGAGGGCAACACTTGAATGCCATCTCCACCCAAGAGCACCCTGTTCTGCCACTAAATGTCACAAAGATCTTTTCTAACACTTGGTGAGGGCAAAAGCCACCTGGCCTCCCACTCTGTCCAGTCTGCAGACCATTTTGAACCCTGCTGAGTAGTCAGTTCCTGAGAGGGTCCCAAGGGCCAGAGCTGCCTATCTGCATTTACATGTCACTTCTAAGGCACTGAGGCAAGGGAAGCTGGGGAGATGGGAGAGGAAGGATGAAAGCCAACTCCTCCGGGGAGCACACTCTGAATTGTCAAAGGAGGAAGCAGATAGCGGGCTCCCGCTCCACATCTCTGATACCCAATTTGGTTCTTCAACCTGATCTCCATGGGGCCTGTTCTGGTTATCCTCTCCACTTCCACCTTTCATTTTGTTTTTGAGTTGACTTTGGGGGTGGCAAGAGCTGTATCTAGACAAATTTTCTCTTCTAAAAGGAGGGAAGGTCAACTCCACCAAGGCTCAATTAATTTCTACCCCAGAGGTGTCCTTTCATCTCATGTGTCTGAGACCAGCCCTGCCTGACCCATCAACCAGCTCCACACCCTTCGGCTGCCTGTCCTCCCCTTTGTTTCTCATTTTCCAACCCAATCCTCCAGCTCAGGCTATTGCCAGTGCACAGACTAGTGGGCTGGGCCCACTCTTCAGCTGCCTATCTTTTGCCTTTCCCCTACAGTGCATTCCTGGTGGTGGATCTATAGCAGTATTAGACAAAACACAGGTTTGGTGAACCCAGCATGTGTGTTGGTTTGAGTGGCATGTGTGTGTGTTCTGAGCAAGTGTAAGCCTGGCTGGGATAGGTGTGAGGAGACCATCTTGGAATCCAGGTGAGGGCAAGATGCAGACTTCTAGGAAGAACAGTGGCAGAGTTTTGTTATACTCATCTGTACACTAAGGAGCTCTCCGCACCCCTTCAGAAGCAGGGTGTTGGGAGGTCGTGGGTGGGTCCTCTACTGTCCTCTCCCAAGCTGGACAGCTGAGGGAATCCTCACCTACCAGGTCTAGGGAACAGTGGAGGGTTCCCCTTCTTTCTGACAAGCATTTCCAAACCCTGCATTCCACCCATGGAAGACTAGATACACACCAGCAAAGACAAAGGCTGTGGAAGCTGTTCGTGACACATTCAATCTGCAGAAAAGCAGTTTGTTTACAGAGGGCACATACATTGTTCTGGGGCCTAGGCTTCTCACCTCCAACGATTTCTCCCTATTTATTATTATTTTCTAGTTCTGGCCAAAGGCTCTGGTGCCAGAGGCCAATGTAGCTGGGTATCGAACAGTGCCTTGGATCATAGACCATTGTAGTTAACTCAACAAGAAGGGGCTGGTGCTTCATGGAGGTGGCTCACCTGGTCCTTGATATGCTAAATGTTGAAGCCTATTATATTTGATCTGTGGCCTTACTTTCCCTAGAGCCCTTCCTTCCCCCCCTGCCACCTTTGGGTAGATCTTATCCTCCATCTAATTTTGTGTCCAGTGTAAAATTCATAGTTAACCTAATGCAACCTGGTCCCTTCTCAGTACCACTCCCCTCTCCCCTGACATGGGTTGTAAAAGGTGTTTAGGGCACTGGGAGGAGAGAACTTTCCAAGTGGATGGGGAGGGGTCTGGGCCAGGCTTTTCCCATTCCATTTCCACCACATGGAGCACTGTGACCACCTCCCTCACCTCTACCAGTGAGGCCTTTGTGCCCACACTGCTCACCAGCTATCTCAGATGACAAACAAACGAGTCTAATGTATAAAATCTGCAGAGTCCTTTTTATCTGCACCTTTTTTTTTTTTTTTTTATAAAAGAATATATGGTGAATACTAAAAATTATTAAATCCATACCTTCCCTACCTAGCCTGCCTTGAAACTTGTTCCTTCTTCTAGAAGGGGTTATGAGGTGGGCTGGGAACAACTCTTAACCAGTTTTGTGAGAGCTGAGGGTTACACTTCCAGGAATCTTGCAATCCAGTTGATGTAGTATTAAATAAACAAAAATCCACTGCCACTGAGTTGACTCCAATTCACAGCAATCCGATAGGGTAGAGCAGAACTGCCCCATAGCGTTTCCAAGGCTGTAAATCTTTATGGAAACACACTGCCTCATCTTTCTCCTGCAGAGAAGCTGGTGTGTTTGAATTGCTGACCTTCTGGTTAGCAGCCTAATGCCTCAACCACAGTGCTACCAGAGCTTGTGATGCCATACTGGTAGTTTAAAATTGGCCAAGGTGGGCACAGTTCTATGTGGAAATTTGTGTCCTCTTCTCCAGAGAGCCAGTTGTTAAATGTTTACCAGCACCCCTTGGCACTGAAGATATACCCAAAGAAATCTACCTTTGGTAGAGAACTCAGAGGCCAGTCCAGTGTTTGGGGATGTCAAAACCAGGAGCTTCTAATTTCACTTCCCTTGGTCTCTAATAAACATCTCTAGATGGCACAGATGGTTGAGCGTTCATCTACTAACTTAAAAGTTGGTGGTATGAATCCACCCAGAAGCACCTCAGAAGAAAGGCCTGGTGATCTACTTCTAGAAAGTCACAGGAGTTTGGGACATGCCTATGTGAAGACAAATTTACCTTAGATGGTACATTTCTATGCCTCTCACTCCACACCTACATTCTCCCACAGAGGACAGGGAATATGCAGAGACTATACCTTTCCAAGGTCTCTCCCTTTTCTCTCCCCCAGGGGAACAGGTCTTGAGAGGGGCTGGGAAGTAGGCACAAAATCACAGCAGATTGCTGCCTTCTGCACAGACTCAGTCCATATCCGTGCATCTCCAAAACTGGCATTGTGGCTTTGTGTGTGCGCTGTGGAGCTGAAGGCAATTTTTAGTGCTCTTCCTTCCCTGATGTGTTCCACAATCAAGAGGTGTGGGTAGAATGGCAGTGAGCAGGGACCCTCATGTGTGTCCCCTTATTAGGAGGGGGACTGATGAGGGGGAGCTGGCAGGACAGTGCAACTGTTAAGCTGGAAGCCTGGATGTTTGATAGAATGGACTCAGGCAAGCGGAGGGAAAGGCTGGCTCCTTCAAAGGAGGAGGGTAGAAAGGTGGGAAGGCCCAACCGCTACAGAGAAGTCTGGATATATTCTTTATCTGAGCAGGTGCTTTTCCCTCCTCAAAGGAGGTTTCACTGCTTATTCCTTCCCCAGGGAAACAGAAGAGAAGACCCAAATGAGAAATGGAAGCTATGGACCAGACAGGTTGAAATGGATTGTATGAAATAGTCTACAACTAACACAATGTGATTTTCAGTTATCTAGAATTGCAAGTTGTAATCCCGTTCCAGGACCTTAGAGTCCTGGGAGGTTGAAGGAGTTGGTTGGTTTCCTCTCTGTATAAAGGAAACACCTTCCAGGTCATGGACTTTAGATCATCTAGCAGTAAAGGTATGCAGGCTGACTTGGGGTTCCTACTGGTGATGGTAAACAGTGACAGGGTAAAGGAACTGGACATATTCCCCTCTGCCCAAATTGCATCCCACCTGTAGGCCAGGCTGGGCCATGGATGGGAGGGAGCAGGACCTCTAAGTTCGGTGGAAGTCCCCCCGCTGGCCCCCAGTCTTGCTAATGAGCTTAATCTCCTCCAGCACGATGTCTCTGCTCACAGCCTTGCACATGTCGTACACAGTGAGGGCAGCCACTGCAGCCGAGGTCAGGGCCTCCATCTCCACCCCTGTGGGGCCTCGAGCCCGGCAAGATCCCTGGATCACCACAGCATGGCGTGTGTTGTCCAGCTCCAGCTGCACCTGGACATGGCTCAGGGCCACATGGTGGCACAAAGGAATCAGCTGGCTGGTCAGCTTGGCCGCCTGGACTCCAGCCAGCTGGGCTACCATGAGGGCATCTCCCTTCTTTAGCTGGTTCTGCTGGATAAGCTGGAAGGCCACGGGTCCTAGAAGGACCACAGCTGAGGCCACAGCCATTCGTTCTGTGTCTGGCTTCCTGCCCACATCTACCATAGATGCCCGTCCTTGTGTGTCCACGTGGGTTAGTTGATCCGAGGGTAGCACGGGTTCTGAGGGGGTAGTGGGAGCCCAGGACCTTGGGCTAAGGCACTTTGGGTTGGTGGCTGAGTCTAGGGAGGAACTGTAGTGTCTTTGAGCCAAGCCGGATCCCAGCCACTGCTGGGCTAGGAGAGGGGTTTTAAGGACTCCACATCCTTTCCATAAAGTTGCCACCTGGTTAGAGAAACTCACTCTAGGTCTCAGATTCTGAACACAGAGAGCGTCCCAGAAAGAAATTCTTGGAATGGCTGGTGGGGAATCTTGGTGCATCAAAGGTAACTCTGGAAAGCAAGAGGGAAAGGGAAGGCTAAGCCCAAAAGATAATGCTTTTTCCTACCTCTTCTCCCCAACCTCTTCCCTATCCTACCTGGCGTTCATTCTTCCACACTGGGGAAAGAGGAAGGAAGGACAAAAATTATGGGGAGAAGAACTAAAATAGAATATATGCAGATGTAGCCTCCCTGCAATACAAGCCTACAAGTCCTGGTCACCATGTGATACACAGGACAACGGCCCCACCAGCCTCTGACTGTCATGCAGTGCTGGTGGTGTGGGGTACTCCTAGGCTACCTGCCTCACAAAAACTCCCATTTCCAAACACATAAGGTCTGGAGGCTGAAGCCTGGATCAGATACCCCTCAATGTTATTCCATTTTCTTAAAACTACAGCTGAGTCTCAACCTCAATTACCAGTCACAGTTATTTTCATCTTCACATTCTCTGTAAATGGTTAACACTGATCATTTAGTTTATAGACAGAACACTAAGAGGAATATTTAATCTACTGAAATAATATCTTGAAGTTCTCTCAAGCACATCAGAAGTGCACATCCACATACAAACCGACAGGGCTGATTCATGTATCTGATTCCGAGGGCCTCCTAGAAGCCAGCCCCCTCAGGAACCTTGTTACTCTCAGGGTGTTCCATGGACCAGCAGCACCAACACTACCTGAGAACCTGCTAGAGGTACAGACTCCCACCCTAGACCTTCTGAATCAGAATCTCACCAAGATCCCCGAGTAATTCACATGCACAGTAGAGGTGGAGAAGCCCTGTGCTAGGCAACTCTTGACTTTTATAGAAACCAGACCAGTCTATGTTAGTCTATATTCTTGAGAGTAATAAAACTGCTTTTGAAGCAAATAGGTCTCCCAAATTCTAGCTATTTCATCATCTGGGCCTCCAACCTTTCAATGTTTAAAGCACAATCTCCCTTCTAAGGGGCCATTAAAGCATCCCATCCCTGCCATGCAACGTGTATTAGCACAGGTGAAGGTCCAGCAGGAGGACGATCATGCGAGAAGTAGAAGGAGAAGAGAGATGATAAAGTTTCCTTCTCTGGGTGGCTGGTGTGCAAAGGTCCTTGGGCTGTCTCTGGCTCACTGCAGCCTGCTTTCCTCTAGTTTTTCTCACTGCTTTCTCTTGCCTTGTGGTAGAATTTAGGGGGCCCAGGTCTGAGTGTGGTCAAGGGGAGAAAGGCTTTGCTCATCTCTAGTCTGGACATTATATCAGGGGAATAACAGAATCCCTAAAGCTCACCATGGAATATTCCCCAAAATAGGAGACCATATACGCCTTTATGGGAAAAAAAAAAAAAAAAAGATGTGTGCATTTTTTTTTTTTTTCCTTGAAGCATCCTATGCACATGAGATACTCTGCTTTAACTCCTGAGAATTAAGGAATTGGGAAGTTAAGTTCTGGCCATCTCCTTGTTGAAAAGATGACTAACATTATTAACTTGCTGCCTCAAGCTCTGTGTAGCATGGCCACCATGTGATACACAGGACAATGGCCCCACAATAATCCATCAATCAATCGTTAGTGGCTAATGGTCCAGATACCCCCTTATTGACTGGACCTTACTACAGGGAGGAAGTGAAGGCTGTAATTGTACCCAGGCTAGGGGAGTCTAAAGCTGAAGAAAAGGTCTCTATTTTAACCAGGAGCTCAATTTTCTGGGCACAACTAACCATGTTGTTGTTATATGCCATCAAGTCGGCCTCAACTCATAGCAACCTTGGGTTTCCAAGGAGGTATCACTGTGGAAGTAGACTGCCCAACCTTCCTTCCAAGGAGTGACTGATGGGTTTGAACCTCCAGCCTTCTGGTAGCAGTCAAGTGTCTTAGGTACTATACTACCAGAGTGATCTTGAAATCTGAAGCCCTGACCCCCATTCCTGGTGAGATAGAATGATCGTTTCTGTGACATGTGGAGTGAGGAGGAGCCATGAACAGGGAGAGAAGAAACAGCAAAAGTTTGAAGGAGTAAGAGAAGATGAAGGAGGAACAGAAGAAAAATGACAACATCTGAATGAAATGCAGGAGCTGGGGGTGCCTCCTGGCAGGGTCCCAATCCCGCAGGATCCCCAATGACAAGGGTGAGTGGTTACGTACTGATGGGTCACCCACCGATGAGGATCATGGGCCGGTTCTTCATCTGGGAAATATTGAACATGCCTGGGGTAAGGGAAAGATGGGGAGGGAGAGAAAGAGGGTGGAAGGATAGTTAACTGAAGGGAACAAATGAACAAGTGGTATGACAAACACCTGTGCACATGCAAACACAGCCCCAACGTGTACACTGCAAGTTCATCCACGAAAGAGTCCAGAGAACAGTCTGTGGACATCCAGGACCCAGCCCACCCTAGGCAGAAGCCAAGACGTAGGATGAGAGATAGGCAAGAGCACCCCTCCTCACTTTGCCCAATAAAACAGCCCAAGAAAACTCCAGCTCCCCTCTCCTGTGCAGTCTATGCTATGCCAACTTCTCCAAGGAAGGTGAACTGTCACTTCCCCTCAAGTCTAGAGGCCCAACAGGACAATTCTGAGTTCCCACCAGCTTCCTCCTTCACTTTCTCTCACCCTACAGCTATGGCCCTCCCTTCTGCTAACAATGGCCCTCTCCCCATTCAGCCATTCAGCCTAGCCTTCCCCACTGCCATTGTGTACCTGCATGCTGCCGCTTCTTCCTGCCCACGGCAGCCCCGATGATTCTCAGCAGCTCCTCCTCAGAGGCTCCCATCCGCAGGTGATCCCGTAGAGATACCTCTGAGTTCCCGAAAAGGCAGACCTGCAGGGGTATGGGGATGAGGACAACAACCCTGAGCCTTGGCCACCCAGCCTCTGAGCAGCTAATCTCCACCTATAGAGCCCCTTAGACCTCCCCAAGCAAGTTCATACTCAAGACAAGATTCCCTGGCAATGGGGGGACAGAAGGTGGTAGATGGAAGAATCAGAGGGAATGGAAGAGAAGGAAGCAAAGCCAGGCATCCCAAGACCTGTATTTGACTTGTTTCATTCAGCTTGTAGAGTGCACTAAGTAAACAGTTGTCAAAGACAGCTTACAAAAATCTAGACTTGCACCTTCTCCACAGGCATTTGATAGGATGGCCCCTTTGTTATGAGAATGGACCTCAAATAATTGGAGCTGAGTCCTGGCAATCCCCTCCACACATGCCAGACACATTCCATTTCACCTCTGTCCCCTCCTGGCCCCTCACTCATGTATATTACCTGACTTCCCTGGCAGTTATTTGAGTTTGGGGTACCATGACTGGTAGCTTATCCACAGAGGGCTAATGCAGATGGCATCTTGAGGTCATTCACACTTGACCAAAAGCTCTTTCTGTGAGAGATCTGACTGGATGCTATGGGAATGGATGAGCCAGTCCCAGAAATCTAGGTACCAATCATAGTTCCATAAAATCTTATAAAGCACCTATTGTGTGCCAGTTCGGCATAAGGCGTTGTGGATACAGAGACAGAAGAATGTTTGAGAGGCCCTTGAGGGCACAGCCTACTTGGGAAGGTAAGTTACTTGGGAAGATATCTTAGACAGAAGGTCTAACTAGCACACTGTAACAGCTATTCTCCACTTCTCACTCCCCCCACCTGACTCCAGGTTCCATTCTCTGCTCATCTTTGCAACCAGGAGGCTACCCAATGTGGATTATATTTTGTGGGCCCCCTTCCAGCTGGCTTCTGCCTGGTTTTTGGCCAATGGGAGATCAGAGGATGAGAAGAAAGGAAGGTTGGGTTATTTCTTCCCTCCTTCCTCCATGACTGGTATCTCTGGCTCCACAACTCTAGCTCCATCTAAGTGGCCTCTCCTCCAAGGCGCCAGATCTCACTGGGCTCCAGTGACATGATTTCCTCCCCTTGCCCCTTCTGGCAAAAAAAAAAAAAAAAGTAACAGCTTTTTGCTATTGCTTGTCCCTAGTAGCGTAGTGCCTAAGGCACTTGACTGCTAACCAGAAGCCTGGCGTTTCAAACCCACCAGCAACTCCTTGGAAGGACGATGGGGCAATCTACTTCCGTAGTGATACTGCCTCAGAAACCCAAGGAGGGGTCGCTATGAGTCGGGTCCGACTCGACAGCACATAACAACAACAACAACAACAAGTGTCTCAACATTCCTTATTGATTACCTTAACCCTGCACTATAAATAACCTCTTCATTATATTCTCTTCTGAATCCCACCCTCCATTCCTGCTGGGACCCTGATTGGTATAGATATTACCTATGTTGTTGTTGTTATGTGCCGTCGAGTCAGACCCGACTTATAGCAACCCCTCCTTGGATTTCCGAGGCAGTATGACTATGGAAGTAGATTGCCCAACCTTCCTTTCGAGGATAGTCTGAGTCAATTTTACATCTCCAGCCCAGGAAAAAAGTCCCTTCTTTTCAACAACCTGCTGGATGGTTCCATCTGAGTGTCCAGCTTGATACATTTAAACTCAAACCACCATCACTTCCCAATCTTAACCAGGCCAAGGCCAACCAGCCTCCTCCTCTTCTCCTTCCACGAACATTACCATAGAGTCATCACATCTTCACTCCACACTCTTTCATATTTGCAACATTGCTAAATGCCCATCTGTTGTCCTACCTCCAAATGCAACCTATAGGTTATTCTTCCTAAAACATGGGTGGTAGCTCATGACTATCCCTTGCTCAGAAACCTTCCCAGTGCCCTGCTACTATCAACAGAATACAGTCTTTATCTTTTATCTGAACATTCAACATCCTCTACAACATGACCTCATGACATATGGCATTAGTCTCCCCTTGTCAAATTACCCTGAACCCCAATTATATATCCTCCCTCCCCTCACATCTACCCTACTCATTTTTCAAGGCTCACCAAGGTCTACAAAGCTCTCCCTCAAGGTCCACAGACTTTACAGCCTTTCTGACCTCTCATTTGACAAGGCTTTATATGCTGCCATACCTTATCGCTGTTTGGTTTATTCTTTAGGAGTCTTTATACTCCTCATGGGCATGTCTATGTCTTCTGTCTCCCTGAAGTCCCTCCCAGGGCTGAGCACACAGCACATCTTATTAGCTCTGAGGTAAACGAAGAATGGAGACTGGTTTCAGAGCTGAGCCCCTGGCCTGGTGGAAGAGGCCAGCTGGGCAAAGTTTTCCCCAGATGTATCACCCCTCACCCCTTCCCTCTGATAGCTACAATTATTTGGAAGCTACTTTAGGGACCCCAGTAAGGAAGAAGTCTGGGTGATAGTTCCATAGGGGCCATGAGTTCACCCTCACCTGCTACTCCCATAGTCCTCCCAAATCTGATACTATCCCACCAACTACCCACTGGGCCCTGCTAGGAACTCCTCCAAACAGGAAGACAGGTGGGAAGAGATATTCAGAACAGAGGTAGCAAGGGGGCCTTCTGGAGAAGGGGGCACTGTGGGGACAAGAGGACACATACCTTGAGGTTCCCATCAGCCGTGATTCGCAGCCTGTTGCAGGACCCACAGAAATGCTCAGACATGGATGTGATGAAGCTGATCTGGCCTTGGAAGCCAGGGATCTTAAAAGCCTGAGGGGAAAGGAGGGGCAGAAGGGCAGTGGAGGAATGGAGATGAGCTACTGAGCCCAAGCCCTTACCTCCTGTCACTGGAACCCTTACTCCATACCCTTTACCCAGAGAAGCCCACTGATAGGTAGTGCTCACACTCTGAAGGCAACAGAAAACTCCAGGGTACAATGATGCATGAGCTTTCTGAAACAGGCAGTGACACTTTCCTGTGCCTGGCCTGCCTTCAAGGAAAGCCTGTAAGGATGATGACACTTGTGGGTAGCATGTCCAGAGGAGGCCTCGTGGAAGCCCAGGATGAAGCACACCCCTCCACCACTTACTGGAGAATGTCCTATTGTAAGCTATTTAACCCCACCAAGTCTGCTTCTTTAACCATCAAACAGGAAAGTTGTCGGGATGGTACTATAATGCCTCCTGCTTAAACTGTACTGTCCCACACTACTGCATTCTGACCTCATTTCAGCCCTCCCCTAGGACTGACACTCACCCTTCCTCCCTGCTTAGCCCTCCTCTTCCTGTTTCCCAACCTTGGCTGTGCTAGACTCCTCCTCTGGTAGTTTCTCCAGTTCTGGCCACCGCTGCTGCACTGTGTCTAGCATTTCCTTGTAGCTGACCATCTTCTTGAAGTTCCACTTGTTGCCTGTATTTGAGTTGAGGGAGGCAGGAGGACTGACTGAACTGCAGAGTGGAAGGGCCCTCAAATTCTTCAAGTCCATACTCCATATAGCAGAGGAATCAGCTCTCTATCTTCTCCCATGGGAAGTCAGGAGGCCCCTGACTACAATGGGTACATCAAACCATGCCCACAGTGACTCTGAGGGACTGTAATGCTCCATCATAGCCCTAGACCTGGGGTCTGCCTAGTCCCCTCCCACCATCCCTGGAGCAATCCCCATAGACAGAGCAAAGCCTTCAGGTCAGCAGCACCCATACTTAGCCTTTCCCATCACCCTCAGCATGCATGCAGTGATGCCAAGTGGCAGTCACCCTGCCATATCCTTGGTATGGCCCTAGCCAAGCTCTGCCAACAGGCCTAGCTTCCCCACCCCAAGTCACTGACCATCAAAGGGCATGTATTCTATGAAGCGTACATCCAGAGGGAGCCCCTCAGTCAAGGCCACAAAGTCCAGGAGCTCATCCTCGTTTAGGCCTCGCATCACCACACAGTTCACCTGGTCGGGGGACAATGGGCCCATGAGGACTTCCATTCTTCTACACGAATCATTTTTTGGGGGTCTGGCACGTGCCTAGGCCCTCCACTGGGGGACCCATTCCTTGTCTCTCTTTAATTCTTCTTTTACTTGGGGAACTCCATGGGGTCACTAATTTTTCTCCCCTTTCTTGTTGGGGGCCAGTACTGGATGCGACTGTTAAGAAGTGGTGGTACTGGGGTATACTTCCACTGCTCGGCCAGGGTGGGAGCTGTCAATGATGCCAGGAGCTGGGGGTGGAAAGCCAAACTGGGGGAGGGCAGGAAGTCAGAGTGAGCAGCAACAGCAGGTGCTCACCTTCACAGGGTTGTAGCCCAGCTCGATGGCCTTGTGAATGCCCTCCATGACCTTGTGGAATCCTGCAGTGAAGAAGAGAGAAAAAAGATCCAGGAAGCTCCTCCCACGGCCCTCTTTCTGTCCCCTAACAAGGAAGGGCCCAAAGCTATGAGAAGTCTGAGAGACCATTTATCTGGGAAATCGGCAAATGTTTTCTGATAGTTGTTTTAGATTTTGCAGGCCAAGAGGAAAAATATTATGTAGGCATATGTCATAAAATTCTTATTGACAAAATTCAAAATATAATAATTAAGTACAATTTTTCATAATACAGGTCTATAAGAGAAAATAGAATTTTTTGAGGGAGGAGGTGGTAGATAAATTTTACTTAATTGAAGTTCAGAATCAAAGTCCTATCACCAAATTAGGACTCCTGGTGGCACAGTGGTTAAAGCATTCAGATGCTAATCAAAAGGGCTGCAGTTCAAACCACCAGCCACTCTGTGGGAGACAAATGAGACAGTCTGCTTCTATAAAGATGTATAGCCTTAGAAACTTATGGGGCAGTTCTACTTTGTCCTAAAGGGTCACTCTGAGTCAGATGGGCGGGTTGATCATCAAATTGACTGCAAATGGTCATTTGTAAAATCCATTCTTGACTCCCGGGCTATATGAAAACAGCAGCTGGTCAACCTAGATCATTAGGATTTGATCCCAAGAATCCCACAAGGATGCTTCTACAGAGACAAGGGACATTTAGCAGGAAAGAAGGGTAAAGAATAAATGCCTAGGCTTATGTGCAGCCCAGAAACCAAGAGGGAGAGACCAGGCGCCTAGCCTGGCACCAGCCACATGCTCCCCCATCTACACGGGCCCTGGGATAGACACCCTTTACCATTGGCCATATCTGATCACCTCTCCTGCGGACGATGAATTCAAACTTGGCTGGCACTAGGGTGTCCAAGCTGATGTTGATGGCATTGAGACCAGCCTTCTGAAGCTTGGGCAGCAGCCGGGCGAGGTTGATACCATTGGTGGTGACACCAATGGTCCTCAGCCCTTCCAGCTGGTGGAGCTGGGCTGTAGGGAGAACAGGGTAGAGTGTCAGATGGCTTGTTCTTAGTGAAGCTGGGAGGAGGGCTGGAAGGTGAAATTCTAGTCTAAACAGGATGAATGGTCAAGAGGCTCTCTGCAGACTTCTATTAACCCGGCTCATCTTAATAAGAAACATAAGACAATGACAAAAATAACCAAAACATTAAACTCTGAGCATCCTCTCTGTGTTAGATGCTCAGCTGAGGGCTTTGCATACGTTAGCTCACTGAAGCTGCACAAAAATGATTATCCATTCAACAGATAAAGAAAGGGTGGTTCAGAGGGATTAAGAAAATTGCTCAAAGTTACACAGCTGACAACAGTCCCTGGGTAGTACAAATGGTTAAGGCACTTGGCTGCTAACGAAAGGCTGGAGGTTCAAATCCACTTAGCGGTGCCTTGGAAGAAAGCCCTAGTGATCCACTTCTGAAAAATCAGCCATTGAAAAGCCTGTGGAGCACAGTTTTACTATGACATACATGGGGTCACCAAGAGTTGGAATTGACTCCATGGTAACTAGTGGTTAAGTTAAAAGAACAACAGCTGGGATTCAAATCCATGTGTATTTGGTTCCAGGACTTTGCCCTTAACAACAAAGGTCCTGATGCCTTGTGTGATAGAAACAAGTGTTTAATTAAAGTGCTAAACTGACTACTACAAAACTGACTATTACATTCTACCAGAAATCACTAGAAATGACAGAAGGATTAAAAAAAAAGAAAAAACATCCATCATAGCAATGGATGACAAAGAATGCTGTCGAGGGCCCAGAAAGATGGACAATGACTGAAAAATAGCAGATGGAACAGATGGACAGAGGAACCACAAGGGCACACAGGAGAAGGTGGTACAAAGGTGGGGAGCTGAGGTTACTAACAGCTGGGGTTACTAACACACCCCAAGTATACCAGCACTGTCAAGTCAACTCCAACTCATGGCAACCCCATGTATGTCAGAGTTGAACTAGACTCCATAAGGTTTTAAATGGCTGACTTTTTAGAAGAAGATCACCAGGTCTTTCTTCTAAGGCACCTTTGGATGGACTGAAACCTCCAACCTTTTGGTTAGCAGCCAAACACACCACTTACACTGCCCAGGGATTTCTACACTAAGCTTGGCAGGCACTTATACAAGGAGCAGGAGGGTCTCTGAGGCATGTCAAGAAGGTTGCCTGGCTGAGGAACTATATTTGGGCAAGCTGGGCAAGTTGGCCTCCCTCACCTCCCTGTGAATAGAGGGAAGGCAGCAGAAGCATTTATCCCAAAACTAGAGCACCAGTGTAGACACTAACTAGCCAATCAGGGTATGTCCTGAGTAGCTGCTGCCATTCACAAAACACTGGAGCCCTGAAGTGCAGTAGGACCTCACATTTCTTTCTCTATGACTTTTGAGGCAACCAGAATAAGCAGAAATAGCAGTCACAGCCAGGCCAGCAGACACCCCAGCCACCAAGAATGAGGACACAGTCAGGAAACATCAAACATCTACGGAGTACACTGTGAAAGAAAGGTAGTAAATTTTACAAACAGAAGAACAAGAGAGGAAGAAGCCCTTGACCTAAAAAGTCTTTCATTTCTGAGAATTTGGTCCAGGTAAATAATCATGGATATGAACAATATTTATCTATAAGAATGCTTATCACAGAATAGTACATAATAAAGGGAACCAAAACCCATTGCCATTGAGTCAATTCCGACTCATAGTGACCCTTTAGGGCAGAACATAGGATTTCCAAGGCTGTAAATCTTTATGGAAGCAGACTGCTTCATCTTTCTCCTGAGGAGTGCTAGTGGGTTCAAACCATTGACCTTTTGGTTAGCAGCCCAATGCCTTAACCACAGCACCACCAGAGCTCCCATAATAAGGGTAGTGGGGAATAATCCAAACACCCAACAGTAGAAAACTGAGTAAATTATGTTTTCTCTGGATGATGCAATATTATGCAGACAAAAACAATTCTATAAAATAATATATTAGGATGCAGGGAAATGCATATGCTATATGAGATAGAGAGCAGGTCATAACATAGTCAAAAGTAGATGCAGAAACACACCAGGATGTTGAAAATGGCAACAAATGAGCAGCAGCAACACTCTTTTTGCTTATCTGAAATAAACAGGTATTACTTTTATAATAAGAAAATGAAAGCTTGAAAAGAAAAAAGAAAAGAGCTTCATTGTGGCTTTGCCGACATGGAAAATCAATAGTGGTTGTTGGCTCCCTCTGCCAAATCAGTTCTGGAGAAACTACAGAGGGAAACATAGACTTGAGGAACTTATAAAAACAATCTTGAAAAACTCACACAAAGATGGATGGCTGTTTTTGAACTGGTGTGACAGTGGGGGTGGTAGTATGGTGCTGAAGGCAACTGGCAGAGAATGTGAGGAGGTAAAGGAAAGCAAGGCAGTGTAAGCTCTATTCTTTACCATACCCACTAAAGCCTCAGAATAATCACTGTTTGTCTCCTTACTGAAGAAATTGGTAGCAATGGCCCAGAGAAGTTGCATAGGAATCCACTGGCAGTAAACTCAGGGAAGCTGCCAAAGCTCTGCTGGAAGAGGAAATGAAGACGACATATATGGACTGACCAGCCTCAGGTCCCTCTTCTACCTACCTCTCCATTGCCCCAATATTGGTGGATTAAAATCAAGGCTGATTACAGCCTTCTAACTCTGCTTCTCTCTGAGAGTTTGAAGGTGAAGACTTGTCGGACTTCCAAGTCATACAACTCGAGAGGAAGCTACTCTCATCATAATCTAAGTGAGTAATAGCTCCTGGAGTTCTGCAATACACAACCTGTGAGGTTTTACATAGCAATGCTGGCTATTTGGTGGGCAGAGAACAAACATAACTGTGATGTTCTAGGGCCTGACACTTATCACCTCTCTTTTCCTTGAGCTCCTTGGGCCTAACAAAAACTAGCATCCGACCTTAGACCTTTTCCTGGTAAGCAATGCCAGACAGAATAGCTGATACCCCCAAGGAGTATAACTAACTTCTCCTGCACTAGAAACAAACAAATAAACAAAAGAACTCCTATAAATTATATACCAATGGAGGAAAAAAGATTATAACAGACAGACCCAGAATGCAAGATAACCATGATATAGGCAGGTTAAAAAAAAAAAAAAAAGATAATAACAATATGAAATAAAATTCTAAAAAACTGTAAAAAGGAAAAAAATGGCAAATGTTAGACAAAAACATCACTGTGAAATAAAGAATACATGAAATAAGATAAATAGAAAGATGGACACAGAAAGAGAAATTGGTGTGTAGGAAGATCAGATTCAGGAGCATACCCAGGAGGAAGAGAACACGGATAAAATATCAAAATATAATCTGAGAAACATGGTGGCTCCAAGTAGAAAGGGCAACACCTGGATAATAGAGGTTCTGGGGCAGTGGGGAGGGGGGAAGGGGGTACTGAAATGAAGAGGAGGAAATATTAAAAGAAATAATGGAGAAATTTTTCCTCAAATTTAAGACAAACGGCTTCTGGGCAATTTCACTGAAGGTCAACAGGACAGATGAGGGATATCATCACCTAGGGACATGTAAGCTTCCTCCACACTCTTTTGCTTTCTTCATTTTGCATGCCCTCTTCCCCTTCTGGTGCCTCTGGCAGACCCTATGCTAAGGAGGAGGGAGCTTTTATGTCGCTATCATTGCATCAGCCCCAGTAAATAGCAATCTCATGGCCACAGCTTTTTCTCTGATTAGCCTCAGAGTCCCTCAAATTCATGTACAAAAGAGCAAGAACCACATTGACGTAAGACTATTCTCAATAGCAGTATTGGCTATAAGGTGACAATGGGCTAACAGTCTTGACACACTGAAAGAAGGAACCTTGAAACTAAAGTTATATATATAAATATAAATATATATATATATATATATATTTATATATAAATAACATGTTACTCCCTGGAGAAGGATATGATGCTTGGTAAAGTGGAGGGTCAGCAAAATAGGGAAATGTCTGCAATGAGATGGCTTGACACAGTGGCTACAATGATGGGCTCAGGTATAGCAAGGATTGTGAGGCTGGGCAGGACCAGGCAGCATTTTGTTCTGTTGTATATAGGGTCACTATGAGTTGGAGCTGACTCGACGGCACCTACCAACAATGACACTGTACCAAAATGTTATAAAAATATTAAACATTAAAAAATTTCCTAACACTCCTTAGAGGACATTATGCGGAGTGAAATTAAGTCAATCACAGAAGGACAAATATTGTATTAGTCCGTTATAAAAAGTCAAGGAAAGGTTTATACATGGAAGAAAATTTTCCTTGTTGACTACCAGGGGTGGGAGGGGAGGGGAAGGAATACTGTTAGATTGGTAGAGACAAGTATTGATTTGGGTAAAGAGAAGGGCAATGTACCAAATGTGAGTGATCAACACTGTGGCATTAAGGAAGAGGAAAACATAGAGAGGTACATGGAAGGTACAGACAACAAAGATGAACACTTTTGTACATACAGTACTGCATTGTCAGTGAAGGCAAACATGTACATACGAGTGGATAGATGGGTGGACAGGCAGAAATATTAGGTATGACTATGCAGGGGGAAGGAGCTCTGGTGGCTTAGTGCCTAAGGTACTTGACTGCTAACCAGAAGGCTAGTGGTTCAAACCCACCAGCCACTCCTTGGAAGGAAGATTGGGCAATCTACTTCCATAGTGATATGGCCTCGGAAACCCAAGGAGGGGTCACTGAGTAGAGGCTGACTTGATGGCACATAACAACAAAAACATGCAGGGGGAATTGTGCCCAATACTATGTATAGGGTTGGCAGACAATGGTTCTACAAGTGTATCTGTATGTTCTGTAAGAAATCCCAGGTATATAGCAGAGCTGACAAGGGACAAGGTTGTAGTCACTTCTTGGGCACAGCCAGCTACCCAGAGGGAGCAAATAGTTGGACCTGTGGGGTTGAGACCATAATCCTAGGGGACATCAAGCTCAGCTGGCATAA